GGAGGAGACAGATAGCGGGGGGCGGGGGGGGGGGAATTCGGAAGTTGCACATTTCTCTATACGGCGTCTCTGGGAGCTTTTTACACTTTGTCACAAATCCATCAAAACGGTTTTGTTGGCGGATTTTGTCGGTTTAGTAAACACAACGCCCAATTCCTTCACCGAGAATGTCGCGGAGACGCCACGCGGCGCCAAACCTTTTATATGAAACCGTCTCAGATTCAGCGGCTGGAAGATGAACGAGGATTTGTTATACTTCAGATTTTATGTAACGCAGAATTCCGAGTCCAACTACCAACTCACCCGGCACAGAAGGTCCTCATAGACGGTCCTCATAGACGGTCCTCATAGACGGTCCTCATAGAAGGTCCTCATAGACGGTCCTCATAGAAGAAAAGTTTCGCCACGCTTACACGTCTGTTGTCGTTGTCCCCGGTGGCAGCTCCAGCACTGATATCTCATGTCGGAGGACTGACACCAGATGGATGAAAATCTTCTACAAAATGTTATCAAATATTATAAACTTTCTGCCGCAAAAAGAAATCCCAGCGCCGGACTCAGCGACAAAAGCGCCATCATCACACAACGGGATAGAGATGACACTCACTAAAGGAACCGAATTCACTGATATCAGTGCCGGGTTACATTGTATGCAGTCTATATAGAATATATCAGTGCCGGGTTACATTGTATCCAGTCTATATAGAATATATCAGTGCCGGGTTACATTGTATGCAGTCTATATAGAATATATCAGTGCCGGGTTACATTGTATCCAGTCTATATAGAATATATCAGTGCCAGGTTACATTGTATCCGGTCTATATAGAATATATCAGTGCCGGGTTACATTGTATCCGGTCTATATAGAATATATCAGTGCCGGGTTACATTGTATCCAGTCTATATAGAATATATCAGTGCCGGGTTACATTGTATGCAGTCTATATAGAATATATCAGTGCCGGGCTACATTGCATCCAGTCTATATAGAATATATCAGTGCCGGGTTACATTGTATGCAGTCTATATAGAATATATCAGTGCCGGGTTACATTGTATGCAGTCTATATAGAATATATCAGTGCCGGGTTACATTGTATCCGGTCTATATAGAATATATCAGTGCCGGGTTACATTGTATCCAGTCTATATAGAATATATCAGTGCCGGGTTACATTGTATGCAGTCTATATAGAATATATCAGTGCCGGGCTACATTGCATCCAGTCTATATAGAATATATCAGTGCCGAGTTACATTGTATCCAGTCTATAGAGAATATATCAGTGCCGGGTTACATTGTATCCAGTCTATATAGAATATATCAGTGTTAGGTTACATTGTATCCGGTCAATATAGAATATATCAGTGCCGGGCTACATTGTATCCAGTCTATATAGAATATATCAGTGCCGGGTTACATTGTATCCAGTCTATATAGAATATATCAGTGCCGGGTTACATTGTATCCAGTCTATATAGAATATATCAGTGTTAGGTTACATTGTATCCGGTCTATATAGAATATATCAGTGTTAGGTTACATTGTATCCAGTCTATATAGAATATATCAGTGTTAGGTTACATTGTATCCGGTCAATATAGAATATATCAGTGCCGGGCTACATTGTATCCAGTCTATATAGAATATATCCGTGCCGGATTACATTGTATCTAGTCTATATAGAATATATCAGTGCCGGGTTACATTGTATCCAGTCTATATAGAATATATCAGTGTTAGGTTACATTGTATCCAGTCTATATAGAATATATCAGTGTTAGGTTACATTGTATCCAGTCTATATAGAATATATCAGTGTTAGGTTACATTGTATCCAGTCTATATAGAATATATCAGTGTTAGGTTACATTGTATCCAGTCTATATAGAATATATCAGTGTTAGGTTACATTGTATCCAGTCTATATAGAATATATCAGTGTTAGGTTACATTGTATCCAGTCTATATAGAATATATCAGTGTTAGGTTACATTGTATCCAGTCTATATAGAATATATCAGTGTTAGGTTACATTGTATCCAGTCTATATAGAATATATCAGTGTTAGGTTACATTGTATCCAGTCTATATAGAATATATCAGTGTTAGGTTACATTGTATCCAGTCTATATAGAATATATCAGTGTTAGGTTACATTGTATCCAGTCTATATAGAATATATCAGTGTTAGGTTACATTGTATCCAGTCTATATAGAATATATCAGTGTTAGGTTACATTGTATCCAGTCTATATAGAATATATCAGTGTTAGGTTACATTGTATCCAGTCTATATAGAATATATCAGTGTTAGGTTACATTGTATCCAGTCTATATAGAATATATCAGTGTTAGGTTACATTGTATCCAGTCTATATAGAATATATCAGTGTTAGGTTACATTGTATCCAGTCTATATAGAATATATCAGTGTTAGGTTACATTGTATCCAGTCTATATAGAATATATCAGTGTTAGGTTACATTGTATCCAGTCTATATAGAATATATCAGTGTTAGGTTACATTGTATCCAGTCTATATAGAATATATCAGTGTTAGGTTACATTGTATCCAGTCTATATAGAATATATCAGTGTTAGGTTACATTGTATCCAGTCTATATAGAATATATCAGTGTTAGGTTACATTGTATCCAGTCTATATAGAATATATCAGTGTTAGGTTACATTGTATCCAGTCTATATAGAATATATCAGTGTTAGGTTACATTGTATCCAGTCTATATAGAATATATCAGTGTTAGGTTACATTGTATCCAGTCTATATAGAATATATCAGTGTTAGGTTACATTGTATCCAGTCTATATAGAATATATCAGTGTTAGGTTACATTGTATCCAGTCTATATAGAATATATCAGTGTTAGGTTACATTGTATCCAGTCTATATAGAATATATCAGTGTTAGGTTACATTGTATCCAGTCTATATAGAATATATCAGTGTTAGGTTACATTGTATCCAGTCTATATAGAATATATCAGTGTTAGGTTACATTGTATCCAGTCTATATAGAATATATCAGTGTTAGGTTACATTGTATCCAGTCTATATAGAATATATCAGTGTTAGGTTACATTGTATCCAGTCTATATAGAATATATCAGTGTTAGGTTACATTGTATCCAGTCTATATAGAATATATCAGTGTTAGGTTACATTGTATCCAGTCTATATAGAATATATCAGTGTTAGGTTACATTGTATCCAGTCTATATAGAATATATCAGTGTTAGGTTACATTGTATCCAGTCTATATAGAATATATCAGTGTTAGGTTACATTGTATCCAGTCTATATAGAATATATCAGTGTTAGGTTACATTGTATCCAGTCTATATAGAATATATCAGTGTTAGGTTACATTGTATCCAGTCTATATAGAATATATCAGTGTTAGGTTACATTGTATCCAGTCTATATAGAATATATCAGTGTTAGGTTACATTGTATCCAGTCTATATAGAATATATCAGTGTTAGGTTACATTGTATCCAGTCTATATAGAATATATCAGTGTTAGGTTACATTGTATCCAGTCTATATAGAATATATCAGTGTTAGGTTACATTGTATCCAGTCTATATAGAATATATCAGTGTTAGGTTACATTGTATCCAGTCTATATAGAATATATCAGTGTTAGGTTACATTGTATCCAGTCTATATAGAATATATCAGTGTTAGGTTACATTGTATCCAGTCTATATAGAATATATCCGTGCCGGATTACATTGTATCTAGTCTATATAGAATATATCAGTGCCGGGTTACATTGTATCCAGTCTATATAGAATATATCAGTAGAGTATATCATATATATAGTATATCATGTAGAGTATATCAGTGCCGGGTGTCCGGTGCGCGGTGCGCGGTGCGCGGTGTGCGGTGTGCGGTGTGAAATGGTATGTAATCACTCTATGACAACTTACAGAAACTTGAATCCCTATATGTCAGGCACGATGTGCATTCCCTCTCTGTGCCTCTAGATCATTGGAAGGTAACTGGCGGATCTCCAGCTCTCGTGGCACTACAAATCCCAGCAAGCTTTGCCAACCAAAGAGTTTATATGGTCGGGCTTGCAATGCATCCTGGGACTTGTAGTTCCACAGCTGCTGGTGGTCAATGGGTTGTCTTGCCATATGAAGGAAAGGGTTACAGAAACTGAGTTCCTTCTCCATGTATCTTTCCATACACACAGAACCGAAATCTTAGACTCAGAAATCTATCATTTTGGGGTCACACAGTATCCCATCCCCCCGTGACCCCTCAGAGCCCCATTCTCAGCACCAGCCAAGCTCCTACCTGTCAGGGTCAGCCTCCGGCAGCTCCTGGGGGGCCGTTGGTGCCTCCTGTGCCCCCGTCTCCTCTTCTTTGTCCACCTTCTCCTCTGTGCTGGCTTTGGGGGTCTCTTCGCTGGCCTGTAAGTGCTCTATAATGTTCTGCTGGTGCCAGGACGGGATGGCTCGGTGCTGATGGACAGGGGTTGGTCCTGGCACGGGGGTCAGGATGTTGTGGACGGGGCTGTTGCTTTTCTTCAGTCCATTCCTGTCCCGCGAGTGGCTCTTCAGCCTATTGTGGACGGGGGTCCCTCTGTGCTCATATCCTTCCTGCTGGATGCATCCTCCGGAGCCCGGAGAACCCTGAGACGGGTGGCTGAACCATCTCCAGCGCAGCCTGAGGATCTGCTTGACATCAAAGTCCTTCTTCCCAGACACAGACATTGTGCGACGTGCGATGTGGACGAACCTGCAGACGATTCCGGCGGCTCCCGGATTAATTCAGCTCCTCTTTGCCTCTTGCATCAGAGCAGCAGATTGTGGCAGGTCTGTCAGTGTGCGAAGCATGCTGCTTGCACCTCCAACCCATGCTAAGCGGCGACTGCCACTGCTGCTGCTAAGAGTGGAGGTGGGACAGCGCGCTGCCTGGGGATGAGGTCACAGCGAAAACAAGTAAATCAGCTTATTAGGGGGAAAGACCCCCACAGGCAGCTGCTGGGCTCAATGACTGAGACGCTCTCATACCTAGCTCAGCCCCATATCATCTCCTCCTGAGAGCTCGTGCTGCAATTTACCATGATAGCAAAACGCATCAGATCCCAGCAGGTCTAGCTGTCGTTGG